GGGCTGGGGCTGGGGCTGGGGCTGGGGCCAGTACCAGTGCCGGCACTGGGATGGGGCTGGGGCCTGTGCAGGGCTGGGGCTGGCGGCTGTGCCGGGCTCTTACTGGGCTAGGGTTGGCAGTGGTGCAGGGCTCTTCCCAGGCTGGAGCCAGCCGCATGCTCCTGGATCTGCGTGCGGGATCTGAGTGTGGCTGTTCCCACCCTGAGGGGTGGAAGGCAGTCTGCATGCCAATCAAAATCATGTTGCATGCCATAGGTTGCCGACCTGTGCTCTAGATGATGATGGTGGTGGTAAACAAGATCACTATGCAGTTTGGAAGCTGGGCAAAGATTTTACATTTGGATTTGAGTTCCTTATGATGATTCAGAGATAGCTAACTGTGATAGTTCAGAATCCCTTAGAAAGATTCTGATTTTGAGGTTTTAGTTTATATTAGGGGTGACAGCTGAAATTTTGGGAGAGATTTTGAATGTGTCTCTCCCATTCTACTAGAAGGTCCTTAAAACATTCAGAATTGTTATTGTAATATGTAATCACCAGTTTTATTCATCTTGTAGTCACAGCACTTGCTAGACTCTGGAATTCCTGCCCTTGCATTCAGTAGCTAATAAAAAGAGCAAGTGTTATGTGTTGACTAAAGGCTTTTCTATACTGTTGCAGTTGCAGAGACCAAGGAGGACAGGGCTCAGCATCAGCGGACCATGTCCACTGATGTACTGCTGGTCTGGAAATTCACCTGTCAGCCTGTTCCAGGCTTGTCCCCAGCAGCTACTCTCAGACCTTTTAGAGACCAAATGCTCAAGAGCAGGGGTTTTGGCTGAGATTTGAGCAGCCTCACTGGCAAACTTCTGGGTCCAAAGTGGGCCTGAGAACTTGGGTTACATGATCTGCCCTGCCCTCACTGGGACCTGCCACTGCAAAGATATAGGTAAGATCTAAAGGTGTAGGCTCAACGTACGGAAGAAAAAATGTGGCCCATGGTTGAGATGAAGGATTTATTTTGAATTTAGGCGCAAGTGTTTGTGCAGACTTTTACACAAAATTCAAGACTAACTTCTTAGAATTTTGTGCATCAGTTTGTTTCAACAGGTTGTGTCTTCACAATATTGGAGTTCTGATCCCCGGTTTGGTTTTCCTAAGTATTTGAAGATGATTTGGTTTAAATGTTGAGCTAGAGCAGGGGCAGGCAGTTATTTCGAGTGGAGGGCAAGCCATCGAGGGCCGCATCACAGGCAGCCAGGGGCAGGTAAATATTAATTTTCTAAACATTTTAGGGGTCCCGTGGGCTGGATAGAATGGCCTGGCAGGCCGCACCTGGCCCTCAGGCCGCATTTTGCCTGCCCTTGAGCTAGAGGGTACCATCAGCACATCCTGAAAATGATTTGTTCAAGAGTGGGGGTTGGAGAAGAAAGGGAAAACTCATTTGGATTGGTTGTTGATGACTCTAGTCTCCAGGTCAGAAGGACCTGATGGAGGACAAATAACCTTGCTACTGAATGAAATACATTTTAAGGAATGTTTCAATACAACTCTTCAGTTAAATTCTGTGAAGTTAAGAAAGAGTTTGGAAGGTGTTGGAAGAAAATTTATCCTTCTTCCCCCTTCTCTCTCGATGTGAAGAGATGTGTATGGAAACTGGGTCATGGTTTCCTGGGAATTATCATGCTTGACAGCCTCTTCCCAGTGCTTTGGGTTTAGATCACAACAGTTCTCCTATGCCCTCTTCTCTGTTGCTGGGAAAATTCTTACTTGCATCCTTCTGAATCGCCTCCTTCCCCTTGCCGAAGATGTCTTTCTGGAATCCCAGTATGGTTTTAGGCCACCATGGGGTACCACTGACATGATTTTTGTTGCATGACAGATCCAGGAGAAGGGTAGAGAGCAATACTAGGAGCTGTTTATGGCATTCATTGACCTAATCAAGGCCTTCAACTCCATCAATTGGGAAGCCTTATGGAAGGTGCTGACTAGGTTTGATTGTCCACTGAAGTTCATCAGCATCCTCAGGCTACTCCATGATGCGATGACTGCCATAGTCCTTTGCAATGAATCATAGACAAACTCATTCACACTCTGTACTGGTGTCAGTCAGGGCTGCATGATCGCTCCAACCCTTTTCTCCATTTATCTTGCTGTGATTTTGATTCTCATGTCTGACTGCCATCTTCCTGGAATTGAGGTTGAGTATCAAATGGATGGTCAGCGTTTCAACCTGTGGCACCTTCACAGCAAAACCAAAGTTACCAAGACTGGCATGACTGACTTTCAGTACACTGGTGATTATTATCCTCGCTCACACTGAGACCAATCTGCAGTCCACCCTTGACCTTTTTTCAGGTGTCTGTCATAGCCTGGGACTTTCCTTTAATGTTGGGAATACCAAGGAGCTCCATCAGCCTGCCCCAGCACAAGCTGCTCCCCGAATCCCACAAATTATCATTGATGGAAAACCCCTGGACAATGTCAAGCATTTCCCATACCTTGGCAGCCACCTTTCCCAGTCAGTCAGTCTTGATGTAGAAATCAAACAGAGGATTTACTGTGCCAGCGTATCCTTCAGAAAGTTGCTTCTCCATGTCTTTACTGACCAAGATCTGCAGATGGAAACTAAGATCCTGGTCTGCAATGCAGCAGTTATCTTCATGCTTCTCTAGGCGTGTTAGACATGGGTGACATTGAAACCATCTTAAGTATTTGAAATGGTTCCATCACTGTTGCCTTAGGAAGATCCTTTGCATTAGATGGGAAGACCATTGCACCAGTGCCAGCATCCTTTCTGCAGCTAATGTAACCAGCACTGAGGCAAAGATCATGAAACATCAACTCCACTGAGTTGGTCACTGCGTGCAGATGGCTGACACCTGTCTCCCGAAGCAAGTCCTCTTCTCTCAATTCAGTCATGGTAAAAGGACCCATGGAGGACAGAAGAAGCGCTGCAGGGACACCCTGAAAGAATACCTTAAGAAAGGATAGCATCAACTTTACAAACTGGGAAGTGCTGGCTGGTAACAGGTCTCAATGGCACAGCACCATCCATCAAGCCACAGCCCACTTTGAAGAGAACTGTCTTGCTCAGGAAACCGAGAAACGGCAGAGGAGGAAGGGAAGTTGGCCAACACCTTTGCCCCTCGCAAGGCACCACCTGTTATATCTGTGGAAAAGCTTGCAGAGCATGGATTGAACTCCTCAGCCATCTTAAAACCCACCAAAAATTCCCGCCCCCCACCCTCGAGTAGAAATCTTCCTTGTATCGGGGGATAGCCAAAGACTTTTTAGGTCAGAAGGACCTGATGAAGGACAAATACCCTTGCTACAGAATGAAATAATTTTTAAGGAATGTTTCAGTTCAACACTTTAAATTCTATGACGCTAAGAAAGGATTTGGAAGGCATTTGAAGAAAATTCTGCCCTCTTCCCCCTTGATGCTTAGAGAGATGTGTATGGAAATTGGGTCATGGTTTCTTGGGAATTATCATGCTTGACAGCCTCTTCCCAACCTGTGCTTTGGGTTTAGATCACAACAGCTTTCCTACGCCAAGCAAGGACAAGCCTAGGCATTGTCTGGATGGTACAACTGTAAGGAAGGTGTGGGCGATGCAAAAATTGGTGGTTTTAATTAAGTGGGAAGTACTCTTTTGTCTGACTCTGTTGCACCACACTTGTTATGGAAGTAAATCAACGAGATTTAGACCCTAAGGCCTGAGTCATTAAAGATTGCATGGCACTTTTTGCAAGCCAACAGGTGTTTCTTACCCTAGTTCCAATATGGGTAATTAAATATTTTCTCTATCTAAAAATTACCCCCACAGAATATTCTGTAGTTTTGCCACATGCTGCTAAGAAATGTCATATTTTACTGGTGTACTGCAGCAATGGAAGAAGTTTTGTGTGTGTGAGAGAGAAAGAGAGAGAATATGATTTCTGGATGAAGAGAACCTTATAAATGAATGATGTAATTACAGCCACAGTTGTAGATCTAATTTACTTTTAAGAAGTGGATTAAATTGCTAAACATAAAGTTGGGGACTTTGAAACTCAGAAGGGGAATGGTGATCATTCCTTTTATCCAAGAACAGTACAATACACTGTTCTCTTTGCCATTAAACTTAGTGATGAAAATGAACCTCTTGCTCTAAGCCTAGAAGCCAGTCAGACATTTCTAGGCCAGTTTTGCATACCGTCAGTATAGATGTCTGAGTTGTGCTGGTTTGTTGGTGAGCTGACAAGCTTTTTAGGCCTGGTTTGCATTATGTAGGTTTGCTGGCTGAGCTATGAGCATGTCCACACTCAAACCTGCTCCATTATGGCAGGATCCCTACTTTTTACTGACAGCTGTCAAATGGTGCATGTAAACATGCCCATGCCCTCTGCCACAGTCCCTTCAGTAGCTGATGCCCTCCTAGGGTCCACTTTGCACCCTACCAGCTAGTGAAGTGAAACTATCCAGAGCTGTTGGAAGTCTTGAGAATGTGCATGTGCTCTGGAGGCTTCCCTGTGGTAGCCACTGTCTTCCATTGGGACTTCTACCAGCAGAAGCCTTGGAGTGTAGATAGAGGTAATTTTGTGCAATCACCTAAGTCTAAGTGCAAAGTACACCTGGGACCCCATCCAGCCCGCACTGCCGTTTGTGTGAAGAGCCTCGAGGGTTGTTGGTTATAAAGAACCTCATTGCTCACCTTTGATGGGACCTTTGACTCAGGCCCACACGATGCAGTGAAAAGCGGGCCAGAGAGTTTCTGTTCTTTGCTTAGTCCCTTTTGTTTCTGGATTCTTAAGTACGAGCACAAGGCTGCAACTGTTGGGTGGCAGATGCTGCAGGAGATGGTTTATTTTAAAAAAGCTGTTCCGGGGGTGGTGGTGGTTGTTGTGTGTGTGTTTATTTTTATTTTTTTTTTTGCAAGGATAAATTCTGAGCTTTGGGTTTAAAACTTGTAAAAACTTTTTTGGACACACCTAAAATTCTGGGCCACACTTAACTTAAGGAGGGTGGAGGAAAAAAAGTGTTAAAGGCATGAAGACAGTTTCTGAAGTGGGATGTTTTCATTGTCATGTGAAATACTGGAAGTAGCTGTGGCTTAATAATGACAACAAACATTGTGTTAGATGGTGTCATGCTGGAGGCTCCATGTGCACTTTACAAAAGATGGTCAGAATCCTGTTATAACAGTGGTGCTTAGACTATAGACTGAATCTACTTAGTGGCACTGGGAGATCAGTGGCAAGCAGCTCAGCTCTGTGCATCCCCTTCTCTGCCCTGTGCCATGCTGTTCATCCCCTTTGCAGCCAGAGGTAAGGTCCTCTCCCTTCCTACAGTCCTCCCTTTGAGTAGGCAGCCACCCCCCGCCCCTCTCCTCGCCTTTCTTCTTCTGGAGGAGAATGGTGGCCACAAGGCAGCCAGGTTGCAAGCACACAGCCCACTGCTCTAAAAGGTTGAGCTCCACTGTATTAAAAGATTAATGTGGGAGGATCTCTGTACCAGCCAGGAGGCCTGTTGACTTCACTGAGGCTTCGTGAAGGCAGCAAGGCCCATCCATATGGATGTGCTTCGAGGGTCAGAAACCATGTATTTAATTTGTCCTTTGAGTCCCTCTTTCCAGGCGGCCCATAAAACCCACAGCCTCCCCTTGCTCACAGGTCAATATTATAGATATGACAGTGAGAGTCAGAATGAGTGTGCCATTAAAAAAATCAATGGAAAGCCTATGGAAGTAGCAAAATATATTCTGCAGTTCATTGCTGAGTTATTTTGGCTTTTTGTTACCCACCAGTTGCTTTCTCCCCTCTGTGAAAGACACTGGCATTTTGGACTCTCAGGGCAGTCTGTGATACATTTCCAGTTGATTTCAATGGTGCAAGATCAGCCCAAGTTATGCAAAAAGTTGTATACACGCTTATCCTTACACACTTAGAATTTTTAGCAGGTGCTAAGCATTATGGCTGCTTTGGAGTCAATAGGGTTATGGTCACTTGCTAAGGATCTAGTGCTTCGCTCTTAGATGTTAAGTTTCTCAGGGCAGGGACCTTGCCTTTTTAATGTTCCTGTAAAGTCCATAGCACACTCTAGGTGCTATTTAAATAATAATTTTATAGGGCTACTTACAGCTGCAATAACTTGGGCTGTGAGCTTGACTGATTCACAGGCTACATTGGGTTAGCCTTGGCTAATATGTGGGTGGGTGATCGTAAGGCAGTGGGGGGCAGCCTTTTTGGCAGGTGTGCCACAAGCTGTATTTTATGCTTCCTGCCTGATCTCACATAAAATACTGTTACTGCCTCACAGTATTAATGCCACAAGCTGTATTTTATGCTCCCTCCTGATCTGCTGCTCTGTTTTCTGCTCCCTTCCTTGTATTCCCTGCCTGAGTTTCTGCTTTGATTTTTTGCTTCCTGCCCTGTCTACTGCTGTGCTGCCTGTCCCCTCCCCAATCTGCTGTGTGCCACACACACACAGGCTGTGGATGTCATTTGTGGTACCCCCACCATATGTTGGCCACCCCTGTCCTAAGGAAACCTATACACTGATTCTCCATGGCCTCACATCGCAGTAGCCATTTACATACATAAAATGTGAACAGATCAGAATGACAGTATTTTACACTTATCTTGTCCCCATGTAAGTGGAATGGAGAATCAGGTGTCTAGGGAGCCAAAAACAGTGGTGTGTGAGATTCAGTGTTTGATGCTTTTCTCTCTGAGTTGGCACTGAGCTAAAATTCTTTAGCTGGTGTACCCGGGTACTATGCTGCTGTAGGCACTGCCTTTCAGATGACATGTAAAAACTGAGGTCCTAACCAAGCTGGCTTTTATTAAAGAGCCTCTGGCATTTTTCATGACAACAGGTATATTATACCTGTTTCCAAGTCCCTGACTACTAGCTTGGGCAGTTATGTTCTGTGTGCCTAAAATCCCCTCTTTGTTTCCCTTAAATTGTTGTCTAACATATTGTCAGATAGCTGCCATATTCCCCTTTACAGCTAGGTGAAGTTAATTTGTGAATGAACAACTCTTGCAAATTTGCCATGAGTCTTGTAATAGCTGGTGTTTTGCTTAAAGCCCCTGGAATTGTGATTTATTTTAAATTGTAGCTTCCGTTGAAAAAAAGAAAGCCTCTGCCTATTCTTGCTATGGATAAAAGCTTGGAAAAGCAACAAAAGTATATGGTAACTTGATCAACCCCCCAAAATTCATGTTTTTGAGGGCCTGACTTTTGAACACTTGGAGTTGACTACTGATTTCTGAATACTAGTTCATAAAGAATGGGGTGCTGAAAGTCCCAAAGCTGATTGATATTAATAGGCTTCAGTTGTTCACATATCTATCCTGGCTTGTCTTTTCCTAAAAATCTAGCTCATGACAGGTAAAAAAAACCAAAAAATCTGACACCTATCAGAGGCCTTACAATGCTCTGTCTGCTTAGAATTTTAGGTAACCATTAAGTATTTGTACTGTATCTTTAGGGATGGATGGATTTAGGGAACTGTCAGTTACAAATGTAACTTCTAGCTGATTAGCAAGCTCTGTAGAAGGTTTCTGATCAGTGAACAGCACAGATTTCCTTATGTCCCTGAAGCAGCAAATCTGAGACAAAGATTTTGGTTATAAGGAGTTATGTGATCTCCCTCCTGTTTTCCCTAATGTGCTAAATCACAGCACTGCTGTCATTTCGTTTCTTGACTAGTAGAACTAGGTAAAAATTATCCAGTTGAAAATGCTGATTCAGTGGAATCAAAACAGTTTACAGGAATGTGCTGATTCTTTTGACTTTGTTGAAGGCAGGTGGGTTGATTGGCCCTGCTTGCTTCCTTCCTGGGATTTGTCCTTCCTGCTGGTGGACTACACGGCTCCCAGGCTTTCTACTTGGTCATCTCCCTGGGCTGCCCACTTGGTCAGCAGTCTGCCTAGTTCACCGGGTTCCCTGCTGTGTAGTCTGGAAGCCAGGCAGGGACCCTAGCGAACATACTTAATTCTACAAGTAGCAAAACCTTTCTGCAGCTAGCATGCATCTGAATTTCCAAAGTAAAATATTGCAAATGTTCAGTTCCATGAAAAATGTTGTGGCTTTAGCTGTTAGGGCTGTGCGAGGCTTCGGACAGAGCTGCGGATCAGGAGACACTTTGGATACTTCAGGGTCCAAGCAGCACATCCGGGTCGCAGCACCGCCTCGCTCGGCTTACCAAAGAGCTTTGGAGCCACCTCGGAGATCCGGCCATAGGGTATAATGGGGAAACAATAAAATATCTGTAACTTTGTTGTTTTTCGTCCAATTTGGATGAACTTTTCAGGGGTGGTTGACTCTGTAGAAAGCATTGAAGCCTGCCAAGTAGAGCATTGAAGCCTGCCAAGTTTCAAGATGATCGGTGCAGGGGTTTGGGGGAAACGGCACCCCAAATTCTTGAAAGCAAAACTCATGTCATATCTAGGTGTTACAACGTAGCAGAGTGAAAACTGCAGAGGTGGTAGCTCTTACTGAGGCCACCAAGCCTGCCTAGTTTCAAGAAGATTGGTGCAGCGGTTTTGGGGCAACTGTACTCCAAATTGTTGAAAGCAAAACTCCTGTCACGTCTATGTGTTACAATACAGGGGGGTCAAAACTGCAGGGCTGGTAGCTCTTACTGAGGCCACAAAGCCTGCCAGGCTTCAAGAAGATCGGTGCAGGGGTTTGGGGGAAACTGCCCCTCAAGCTGCAGACAAGCAAAACTTGTGCCATGGGTGTTTGTGGGACTGATTGTGTCTGTCGTGGGGAGGGGGGAGACTGCTGCAGGCCTGGCTGCTAAGCTGCTGTGTTACCAGTTACCAATCAATCAATCATGATTCACTCAGGGACCAGGAACTCAGGGCCCAGCTCCATACACAGGACCTAGCTGCTACATAACTTAACAAGCATCAATTAGCACCTACAAAACCAGGCTAAGGAGAGGAAAGACTCAATACAGACAATCAACTGCCCCAAGACAGAGACATCTTTGCAGTTTTGCCTGTCAGCAGCTAGAGGTGCAGGGCCCCAGAGCCCCCCCTGCACCGATTTCCTTGACAGCTGGCAGGCGTCGTGGCTGCAGCACGGGCCACCATCCCTGCAGCTGTCACCCCATTGCGCCTTAACACACGCGGTGTTGCCTATGGCACGAGTTTTGCTTGTCTGCAGCTTGGGGTGCAGTTCCCCCCAAACCCCTGCACCGATCTCCTTGAAACTTGCTGGCTTTGTGGCCCCAGTAAGAGCTACCAGCCCTGTGGTTTTGATCCCCCTGTGTTGTAACACGTAGACGTGACATGAGTTTGACTTTCAAGAATTTGGGGTACAGTTCCCCCCCAACCCTTGCACTGATCTTCTTGAAACTTGGTAGGCTTCATGCTCTCAGCAGAGGTTACAATCCCGGCAAGTTTCCTCCAAGTCGGACAAAACGCAACAAAGCTATACATATTTAATTGATTCTCCATTATACCCTATGGCCAGATTGCGGTGGCTCCGAAGCTTCGGAGCCGCTTCAGCTGGATTTAGGCAGAGACCCAGTCTGGAGCTCCAGATCGGATCATGGCCATCCAAGCAGCTGGATCCGAAGCCGGATTGGATCACTACCGACTTGCACAGGCCTATTAGCTGTTTGTCTTGATTTGTGAGGGGCTATTTTTTATTTGCAATTTTTTGGGGGGATGGATAATCTATTATCCAATGGCTGGATGTTGCAGGCTAAGATGTAAACCATATTTACTTCAATCCAAGATGAGTTGTTTTCCCTCATTCAACATGGGGGGAAAGCTCTTTGGCTTGGATTATAATAGAAGGTGGGGGTAGGGGTGGGAGGGGAGCTGCTGTGGCTCTGACTCCA